TATATATATATATATATATATATATGTGTGTGTGTGTGTGTGTGTGTGTTCTAAAAGCATTTAACTATGTTTTTATATATACATTCGCGCCATAAAAGCTTACCATAATACAAATCTTACCATTGAATAAAACTGTTCCCTTATTACAAAATTTATTTAAAGTTTTGAGAACTGCAGGAAGGAAATCCGATTCCGGGAAATTTGTTCCACAGTTTTCTTGGTAATCAGTCAGACACTCCAAGTACACTATTTGCTCACTGAAAATTTAAATACAACAATAATAACAAAATAGTCAAAACATGCTATTGAATTAAAAAAAATATGTGGAAAGATGTAATATGAAAACAATGAACAAACTCTAAATCAAACCTGAAAAAGCGTTAAAGCAGCCTATGCCAAAAATATTTAAAATAGAAAGGAAATCAATTTTTTCTATATTATATGTATTTTTTAAAAATTGGAGTAAAAAACAGGAATAACACTTATGTTTGTTAAACAGTTATTCATAGAAGAGTTTTCACATGAACGCAAGCAAGGTGTCCCTTGAGGAAAACCTGTATTGCATATCCTGACACTCATGCATTATTCTACGTTAATCCTGCATGTTTCATGGCTTCTTGTGTTCTACTTAAATTTACTTTCTCTCTAATTTTTATAAATATTGTAAAATGGAGCAGTGGTAAATGGAGCATTTCGGTAAAATGGAGCATTCCGGTTCGAATGCTAGCGATGGCTGGTCAAAACGAATTCGAACCGACCACCGTGCTGACACAAAATATGCTCTGTGGTAGACGGATCACGGGTTAGAGTCCCCTTGCCGTCAGTCTAACCGTGGGTGGTTTTCGAGGTTTTCCTCCGTGTGTGACGCAAATGTGGGGTTCCTACCAAAGAGTCCACCATGAGGGCAAATTTCTCCCAATACTTAATCCATGAGTTCCTTTGTCTTCTGGATTGGGTTCAAAATTACTAAGCTACGAAGTCAAACATTAGTAGTAGTAAACCCGAACCTTGGTTCTGCCGTGCAATGTTGGCAATAAAATATTGTAAAATAACATCATAGGCTTTCCTTTCATATGATGCGACACTTAGCTTCAATGAAAACAGATATTTTTCCTTTTGACTAGGTTTTAATTAACTGCTAGTTTACTATTAACAAAGATGTGTATTAAAAAACTGTTATTATTTTTACAAACAATTATTCTTCATGCTTTTCATTATTTGTATATTTTCCGTTAATACTTTTTGCTTATTTCAAGCAGAATAACATTCATAAAAATATTAAACAAAGCTCGAAATCAAGATTAAAATGAAATCGACTCTTAAAATTAAATCGGTCCACACAATCCAAAAATATAAGCTTTCTTTCTCCCACTATAATCAAACGGGTGTGATTTTATGCTTTTTAAATATTCTCCACAAAAATTTTCAAAGGATTGATAATAATAAGAGGACATTCCATAATGGAACAATACATTTAATAATAAAAGGTACAGAAGCACCAACACTGCGCATAACTATAACACCAGCTCAGAGTAACGAAATCGTTAGCATAAACGAATGCTAACATAAAAAAAGACCTTTAATAAACAATTTATTCTTATAAAAGTCTTAAATATATAATTGGCATGCAAATCTTGTTTTAGTTATGCAAATCTGAAAGACTGAATAAAGACATGCAAAAATCTTTACAAGAAATATCCCATCTTTGAGCTTTTATTTACAGGCGCTGTAAATCTTGTTTTTGGCTTCTGTTTTTTGCAGTCTTGCTTTGTCTAGGCTCCCAAATGCTATAATTTGCTTGTACGGAAAACTTGATGATTAGGCCAACCATAACTTTTAAAGTGTTTCAGAAAGTATATAAAAGCCAACGCAAAATAAACTTTCTTTCAATGATGGTCATAAAATCTAAAATATATTTTGAGAAGATAAATTTATCTTAGGCTGAAAAACGTTTTATGTGCTTAATTTTTCAAATGATGATTCCTCCCAGATTTCGAAAGGTTTTTCAAAAGCAGATTCAATCTTGATGTAAAACGGTTGTTCATGCAAGCATAATGCAAACCTCATCGCGCATAAACAAGCATAGTCAAAGCTTTCACGATTTACTAGGTAATCATTTTAAACCTTGTTGGGCTTGGTAATCATTTTAAACCTTGTTGTTGATATAGGTTGTAGCTGACATTTAAATCAACCTTACACTAGGATATGGGTAAGGAAGGCCCAGGCGCACTAAAGGCTGTTGTGCCAAAGCTAGTTATGATGAAGTAGGTCATTACAGAACACACTTTATAATATGAAAACCTTAAAAATTCCACGAGTCAATTCTTCTACGTGTAATATTATAAAATATATGCTTTTTTTAACAAAAGATCTCGATAATTTTGACATGAAAAATCCCCATAAGAATATCTAAAAAACATTGAATCACGATATCGATATCGGTGATTCATTGTTCACAAATAATTTCAATATGACGAAAACCGGGTATCATGTTGAATGCAAATCTTAAAAAACATGTAATAGACCAACTGAATGTAGATTTAAATTGCAATATACAGATTTAAATATGAACAGCACACAATGTAACCAGTCAATGAAACCTCACTACAAATTAAGTCGGGTGCTTAGCATATGGAAATCGTGGAACCTGCTTTTAACAACTTAAATTTAATATCCTGAGTTACTAATCCAAATACCACTCCAAAAAAACAACAATGTCCCATGCATAATTTCATTCTATCCACTATATAATATTACTCAATTCTACTCAGTATATCCAAGGTATAAAATAGTCTAGGATTAATTTAAGAATAAGAAACTGCAGTTTAAATTTTCAGTTTTCGTTGGAGCACCCTGAAATCAAAATTAAAGTTTATTTAGGAAAATAGAAGGAAGAAGGCATAGTTTTCTTACGAACATCTAGTTGAGAGCTGATCAGCGTTTTCTGGAAAATTGTAAAATAAATCACCTGGGTCTGGACATATCACATGTAACTGTGTCTCACATTTGTCTTTTCCCCATGATGAAGTAACTGAAAAATATGCATTAATTTGAAGACTGATAAAAATATATTAAAGCAGATTGAATTTTGACATTAAAACTAAAAAAAAATAAAAATTAAAACTAATTTTCAATTAAAACTGTTTTGGCTAAATAAATTAAAACTAACATTTTCGAGTAAAACTATTAATTTCACTAGTTTAAAGTAGCTTTTGTTTTTTTCTATGATAAATATCATTATCATGAAGAAAAAATTTTGATTAGGAAACATATACTTTAATTTATTAAATTTTAACTGAAACGTAGAATTGAGAAAAAAAAAGCTGAAACCAGACATTTGCACCTGGAAGTAATTTAACCTAACCAATAAAAAATGTCAACAAGAAAATACCAGATATTCTTATTTGAAAGCATCTCAACTAAACAAAACTAATATAGAAATGCCAACAGAAAACTAATTTTCTGACATAACTATTATTTTTAATAATTTGTAGCTTGATTTAAACTAATGAAATTATTATTAAAAACTGTAACTGGAAGCGGTAAAACTCCTACTGAAACTTAACAATGAGTAATAACAGTATAACCAGGCATTCACATTTGAAAGTATCTCTCTTAAGCAAAACTAAAATAGAAAAGGCAACAGGAATTTGATTTTTTTAGCATGCCTATTATTTTTACTAAGTTGGCAAAACAGTTTTAATTTTAATTAATGTAATTATTGCTAATAAAAAGATTGTGACTAGATAACTATAACTAGAATCTGTAAAAGTCTTACTGAAACATAACAATGAGAAATAACTGTGATACCAAGCACTTTCATTTGGAAGTATCTCTCATAATCAAATCAAATATAGAAATGTCAACAGGAATTTAATTATTTTTAACAAGTCTATTATTTTTACTAAGTTGTCAAAGTAGTTTTAATTTTAATTAATGTGATTATTGTTAAAAAAGGATTGTGACTAGATAACTGTATATATTCCATAGAATTCTTTAAGAATTTTCGATTATTGTTAACAATCTTGTATCTTATAATAAATATCCTATTATAGTTCATTTAACAAAAAGAAGAAATCATTGAAACCAGACATTCTTAATTGGAAGTATCTCAACTAAACATAGCAAAAACAGAAAACAAATTTATTTTCTAACAAAGTTATTGTTTTTTACTTCCTAGTAAACACATTTTTTTGTTAATACAGCTTATGATTATAAAAAATCCTTTGCTAAAAATCATAACTAGAATTTATAAATTTCTTACCGAAAAACAACAATGAGAAGAAAACGGTGAGACTACGCATTTTCATTTGAAAGTATCTCAATTAAATCTAACTAATGTAGAACTGTAACTAGATATTTAATTTGGTAACACAGATATTATTTTCCCGTTTATCGAATCACAATACAGACATAAAGAGGAAGACTATGGTTTGTTTTCTATATTTTATATTTGCTGGCGTGATTTGGGTGTGTTTTTCTTTTATTCGTAATATTTTCCTCTTTGTACAGTAAAATAATGCGCAAATGACGTGTGCTGAATTTCAGATGCTCATTTATCAAAGTAGGACAATATATTTGGATAAAGTGAAAAATATCAAGGTCATGAATAACAAAAAAGTATGTAATATCTCTAACATCCATTAGCAGTAAAAGTTTTTTCTTTCATAATTACATAACTTTTATTCTCTTGTATTGGGTAATTTTAACATGACATAATTAACCGAAACAATGTTATTTTTGTGCTTTAAATATCTGTGGTTTCATTATGATGATACTGCTCATTTCCTTTAAAGAAAAGATTGTAATATTAAATAAGTTGCAAGTTATCGTATTTACAAAAATAACTTTGCACCGGCATTATTTAAAGAGAATCTAAAATAAATAAGATTCTTAAAACTATGTATTTCTATTCAGTTTCAAAATACTTTTAAACTCTACCCATTTAATAATTGCTATCGAATGTATACTTCATAAAATGATCCCTGATTCTTAAATACAATAAAATTATACCAATTTCCTGCCTCTTATAAAATTTCCTCCATTTCTTAAATTCTATATAATTTTAATAAGCATTTTCTTGTTACTTTAAGGTTTTAACCAGTTCCCAAACATTGTAAAATTTTTATTTCCTTATTACGATGAATTTTTTCCCATTTCCTAAATACTATGAAAGACTAATTTTCTAGATACTATAAGATTATGTTCCTAAACATAATAAAATTTTATTCATTCCCTTACGAAATTTTACCTATTTCATAAATACTATAAAAATCCATTCATATTCTAAACACTATAAATTTCTACAAATTCGTAATATAATGTAACATCCTACTTATTTTCAATGGATACCCGCTACGATGGCTGACTGGGGTAAAGCAAATAAATTAATATTCTACCTATTTCCGGAATGCTATAAAATTTGAACCATGTCCTAAATTCTGTAAAATATTTACTTTTTAGGGAGAAAGTTTTGCCTTATTCCCAAATTTTAGCTTGTAGTACTGTATGCAGGAAGTAAGTAATAATCCACCCAGAAATTTCAGATTTATTGGTTGTTTAAAATGCTTGTTTGGTTTAAAAAAATAGAAGAGCAAAATATTTTTAAAAATGCGGAAAATTGCTCTGAAAGTTACGACACTTTATTAAACCAATTGTACTCTTTAAGATAATGCTGAATTATTTTCTAGTTAGTTAATTGAATTTGTAATATCAAGCAATTAAAATGTGTTTTTTCAAGTAGAGTGAATAAGCTAAAATAAGCCAAGTTAATTAAAAACGTTATATATATATCTTTCTTAAGGACAAGATTTCAATTTTAGATTTTATCAACTACTATTTTTTGCATATTCATTAGAATATTTCACAGGAAAATATATTTGTGCAATCTGTTGCAGACACCTAGTCCCGGTACTAAGTATAGAAAGGGTAGATCAAGATAAAACAAGCATACTCTTTACCGATTTTGTTAGGCTTAACGAAAAAGATTATTTTTCGCACAAAAATTATTTTGACCTAACGAAAATGGCATTTTAGTATTTGTGTATCTTATTTAAGTGCTGTAGCATTTTATTTTCTTATTAAATTTATTTTTAAGAAAAAACTTGCAAGTTTTCTTGCTCATGGCTGCAAAAATCTGATATTTTTTATTGCAAAAGCACTTGACTTTACATCATTGGCCCCCATGCATCAAAGATGCATGAGATTGGAGCATATAAAACAAAAACTGAACCAGTGGACTATACAAGAGCAATATAATAACAAGAACAATAAATACTTGCAAAACGTGAACCACTTAAAGATGAACGAGAATCAGTCGCTGGATACCAATTGCATCAACTCCCGAGCCCGCCAGTATCGACTGAATAAATCTTGTTCATTTAATGAAGAACAACTGAGCAAATTATCTTTGTCAAAGTTCTGGTTGCGCAAAGTGCACATAGGACTGCCAAATATACCAATTCTGTATAGATGTTTAGCAAGGCAGTCATGTCCAGTGTCCAGACGGAACGCCGCTACTGCAGTGGATCTAGGGGAGTTGGAATTTTATTAATTGAATACCTCCATTTCTTATTCTTGATTTCTTCTACTAAATTAGCATCATAGCTTTTCTTCACAATATTTTTTATAATTCCTTTAATTTATGAAAATGGTACTTTGGCATTACTTGCCTGCAAAATCTCTGCTCCCTTCTCTGCTAATGTATCAGCCCATTCGTTACTATTTATTCCTACACAAGATGGAATCCACAGCAGAACAACAGTCCTTCCCTCAGAAGCTAGGAGATTAATATTTCTTCTGCAGGAGACAATAATATTTGACTCTGCAACATTATGTGCAAAACCTGATATAATCCCCAACATAGTATATAGTGACTATTGTTACCGATATCAACTAGATGTATGTAAAATTAATTCAACAAAAAATCTCACATTTTTGAGAAAAATTTTGAAATTTTTTTTTCTTATTGTAGATCACTAAATGTACAATTTAAGGATATATATTTTTTAAACATAATTAAATTTTGCAACACATATGTTTGAGCAATTAGATTTTAAGTAAACCTATAGTCTTTTAAAAGTTTTTCTTCTTTATTTTTACCCTCCATAGCCTTATGCACTACACTAGCTCTATTTTAAATGATAAAATAATTTTCGTTCACAACATAGCAGAAAGTCTTTTATTTTTACCTTTGAACCTTAATCTCCTTAAGAATTGTAGACAAAAAATAATTTTATTTACATTTCTTTTATGCTGCTCGATGAAAACTCTCAATTGTTTAAAAGGATTTTTCAAATTAAGGTTAAGAAAGTTTCTCAATTTAAACCTCGCAATCTGTTTTAAGATCACGAATAATTGATGGCAAAAAACATAAAGGTGCCTTTGTTTTAACAAGATTAGTTCATCTTAAAAAAAAACATTGCCAGAGGAAAAAAGCAAGCTACCATCTAATACACTCTTTCTTAACGTTTTTACCATCATTCTTATTATTTGTTTACTGGCGTTCCTAAATAATTTACTACATCTTTTGACATTGAAAAAAATTGAGCAACGTTTTTCCATTAAGCACATAATTTATTCACGCACAGTGTTGATACGTGCCATATATTTGAAAAGGCGAAATACATAAAATCTTCGCAATAAGAATTGCAAAGAAAAGGAATTCATTCATAATGTATGCGTTCGATACGACTTACTGCGGAAGAAAATGTGGAAACTGAAATTGATTCTTTTATTTGTTATGAGTAGTTTCGATTAAAGATTGTTTTTAGAATATGATTCATTTTTATTGAATTTTCGCTCTGCATATATTTTTGAAAAAATTAAATATACAAATACTAAAAATAAATGGTTTTAAAGTAATATCGTTATGAGACCTTATTAACAAAATGCAAAATATTTTTTCTTATAAAAGATATAATTGGTTAAATTATCAACTTAGTGAATTGTTAATAACTTATTTTATTTTAATTTTCTTTTTTACAAGTGTCGTTGAACAGCCGACCCAATTTTGGGGCTTACGACCAACTAATGTTCAACTCCGTAGCCGAGTAATTCTGAACACAATCCAGAAGACAAGGGAACTCTTGAATCAAGTATTGAGAGCAATTTGCCTTGGTGGAAAACTTTTTGATGTAACTAACCAGCATTTGCGTTACATGGAGACGAAGACCTCAAAAACCTCTCACGGTTACTTGACGGCAAGGGGAATCTAACCCATGATCCATCTACCCCTGAGGATATTTTGCGTCAGCGCTGTGGTCGGTGCAAGCCGGATGCGGAATTCTTATCGACCAGCCATCGATGGGATTCTCACCCGATTCACCTCATGGGATGGCGAACCCTCTATCCTCTGAGTCATCTCGACTCATTAATAACTTATTAAAGAAATGTGAAATCATTTACTACTTCTTTTGTCATTAAAAAAGTTCTACAACATCTTTCCGTTAGGCACATAATTTATTCACGCACAAGGTTGATGCGTGCGATATATTTGAAAAGGCGAAATATATAAAATCTTTGGAATAAGAATTGCAAAGAAAAGGAATTCATTCATAATATATGCATTCGATACGACTTACAGGGAAAGCTGAAATTGATTCATTGTTTGTTATGAGTAGTTTCGATTAAAGATTGTTTTTGGAACATGATTCATTATTCCAAGTTCTTTAACTGCAAATATTTTTTAAGAAATTAAATATGTAAATACTAAAAATGAATGGTCATAAAGTAGTTTCGTTTTGAAAACTAAACGAAATAATGTGTAAAATCTTCGAAATAAGAATTGCAAAGAAAGGGAATTCATTCATAATGTACGCGTTCTACACAACTTATTGGGGTGGAAATATGAAAACTGAAATTGATTCTTATAAGTAGCGTAGAGTAGTTTTGATTGAACATTGGTTTTAGAATATGAATCATCATTTTCTTCTGTTTACTCTGCGAATGTTTTTGCATAGATGAAATATATAAATGCTAAAAATAAGGGGTTTAAAAGTAGTTTTGTTAATAGAGCTTAGTAAAGAAATGTACATTTGCTGAGAAATTTATTTTTATAAGAATGCTTTATTATAAAAAATTGATATCAGATGTTTTATTATAAAAAATTGATTACTCATGTTATTTTTATTTCTCACAAGATCATTCAATGAAATATTTTTGTTAGAAAGATATAAATTACAGTAGTTTTCAAAAAGCAGCTTACTGTTTTTTTTTTTGTTATTAATTATCAAATCTTATTATTAATTCTGTTTTTAAAATCAATGATAATGTAACTTCGTATGAAATATATATTCATAAACTGAAATTTTTTTTATTTCCGGAATATTTACTATACATCGTTGATATTTGAATTTTCTCTCCATATGTTACTCAAGAAGTGAATTAAATAAAATTCGAAAACTAAATTATAAGAAATTTAATGGGTGAATTATGTAAAATTAAAGAACTGTATTACATGGACCTCGTTTATTACAGCACAGGAAATAACAGAAATAATTTATATTAATTGAATTAATTGAATTTCCAGAACTTTTCAATATTTAATTAATAACAATAAATTACATCCACTTCCTAATTATTACAAAATTTGTTATTTTATTAGGAGACAGTTTTGTACATTTCACAAATTTTAACTTTTTGTACTGTATGAAGGAATAACCCACCTATTATTTACCTACCTATTAATAACCTACCTAAAAATTATAATAACCTATCTACCAAGTAATAATCTACCTAGATATTTTAGACTGATTGATTATTTAAAATTTTTGTGTAATATATAAGAGATAAAAATATAAGAACTTCAAAAATAAAAGAGCTTCAAAAAATATTAATAAAATTGTGGAAA